TCTTTTTTATTAATGCTTCATGACAGTGTGGAAAATTATTTATGCATTCACACATTTGTGCCACATTTGTCCCACCTTATCATCCCCTCCTGTGCTCCCCTCCCTCGTATGCAAAGCCTGTTGACTGACTCCCTCTCCACAGAATAGTCCCACCTTCCACATTTGTATCCCATGTAATCCATTTCCAACTCTCCCCTCCTTTCCCCTCCTTTAAGAAAATGTTCTTCTGTCTCATGGTCTCATTTCTAGTTTCATGACCCATGTGTAACTAATGCAAAGAAATACATACAGTTATACATACATTCATACATGCATGCATGCATACATACATACAAAATATGGAGAGAGAGAGATTATGTATATGAGACAAAACATTTACTTTTCTGGGTCTGTCTGATTTCACTTAACGTGATGATTTCTCATTCTAACCACATTTCTTCAAATGCTGTGACTGTGACTTCATTTCTTTTTCAAGTAAAAAGTCCACTGAGTATATGCACCACATTTGTACCACTCATTGATCTGTTGATAGACTCTAAGCTGGTTCTATTTCATGGCTATTTTTTAAAGTGCAGCAAAAAGACAAACAAAAGCATACAAGAATATCTTGTATTCTATCTTAAATTCTTCTGTCATATACCTAAGAGACATATGGTTGCATCATATAGCAGTTCTATTTTTCTTTTTTTGAGAAAGTTCCATAACAATTCCCATAGTGTCTGCACCAGTTACATTACTATCAGCAGCATTTACTGTCATATATTTTATGATAATCATTCTGACTGGGACAAAATGGAATCTCAAAAACAATTCTAGTTGGTCATTTCCCAGGATACAGATACAAAATACTATTTCAAGTATTGTTGGCTACTCCACTTTTATTTCTTCTTTTTCATTTATTTTTATTTTTATTTTTTGCTATTATTTTTTATTTGAATTAGAAACAAGATTGTTTTACATGTCAATCTAAGTTCCCACTCCCTCCCCTCCTCCCCTACCACCCCCTACCCCCAACTAAAACCCTACCTACCACATATCCTCTCTGCTCCCCCTGGATGGTGAGGCCTTCCATAGGGTGTTATCAGAGTCTATCATATCCTTTGGGATAGGGCCTAGGCCCACCCCTGTGTGTCTTGGCTCAGGGAGTATCCCTCTATGTGGATTGGGCTCCCAAAGTCCACACCTATGCTAGGGATAAGTACTGAACTACTACAGGAGGTCCCATAGATTTCCAAGGTTTCCTCACTGAAACCCATGTTCCTGGGGTCTGGATCAGTCCCATGCTGGTATTCCAGCTATCAGTCTGGGGACCAAGAGCTCCCTGTTGTTCAGGTCAGCTGTTTCTGTGGGTTTCATCAGCCTGGTCTGGACCCCTTTGCTCATCACTCGTTCTCTGCAACTGGATTCCAGTTTAGTGATTAGTTGTGAGTGTCTACTTCTATTTCCACCAGCTGCTGGACTTTTATTTCTTCTTTTAAGAACTTCCTGTTCACTCCAGACTGACAGCTGGGGAACCTACATAAGACCGAACTAGGCACCTTGAACATGGGTGTCAGTTGTGGGGAATGGACAGTCTATGGGACCTCTGGCAGTGGAACCAGTATTTATCCCTACTGCTTTTGGAGAACATTCCCTATGGAGGGATACTCTCTCAGCCTAGATACAGGGGGAGAGCCTTGGTCCTGCCCCAAATGATGTGAAGATTTTGATGACCCACCCATGGGAGGCCTCACCCTTTCTGAGGGGTGGATGGGGGGTGGGATGGGGAGGTCTGTGGAGGGCATGGGAGGACGGGAGGGAGAGGGAACTGGGATTGATATGTAAAATGATTATTTTTAATTTAAATTAAATAAAAAAGAACTTCCTGTTCAGCTCACTAACTTTTTTATAGATTGCATAACTGGAAGGGGGTGGTGTTTAACTTTGCAGTTCCTTGTATATGCTATGTATAATTCTCTATCTAATATAGAGTTGATAATGGTTTTCCATTTTATAGGCTCTTTCTTCATTCTGTGATAATTATTATTAATATACAGAAGCTCTATGACTTCATATAATCCCATTTTTCAATTCTTGGGATTTTTTTCTGTAACAGTACAGTCTTTTGTTTGTTTGTTTGTTTCAGAAATTTGAAGCTTTTTCCCCTGATGTTTTCTTCTAACAGTTTCAATGTTTCTGATCTTATATTAAGATCATTGTTCCATTCTGAAATGATTTCCATCAAGAATGTGAGATACAGATTTAGTAGTTTGTATGTGAAGAAATCCAATTTTCTATACCACATTTGTTTAAAAGCTTTCTGTGGTGATATATTGTTTATGACCTAATAAAGCTTGCATGATGATCAGAAAATCAAAACAGCAAGCCACTAGCTCTTACCTCTAACTCAGACTGAAAGGGCAATCCTGATCCTCAATGTGTCTGGAGACCAATTGCCAGCTCTGAGACTCTGCTCCTGTCTTATAGACCTCTCTAGTCCTGGAATTAAAGGTGTGAGCTCTGTTTCACTCCCATGTAGTGCTAGGGGGCCTTTAACTCACAGATAACTATCTACCTGTCTCCTGAGTCCTGGGATTAAAGCTGTGTGCCACCACTGTCTGGCCTCTATGGCTGACTAGTATGGCTGGCTTTGAATTCTGATCTCCAGGAAAGCTTTATTAGATCATAAACAATATATCACTATAGCTTTCTCTAATATATTTTTTACATATTTTATACCTTTGTCAAAAATTATATGACTGTATCTGTGTGAGTATATTTTTGGGTTCTCAGTTCTAGTTCAATTTCAAATGTGTTTTATGCTAGTTCCATGATGTGTCTGTAATAATGGTTCTGTAATATAATTTGATATCAAGTGTAGTAATGCCTTCTGCTTAGAATTCCTTTGGCTCTTTGTTTCCATATGGGCCTTGGGAATGCCTTTATAATTAAAAACATCATTATAATTTTGGTAATATATCCATTTTACTAAATTAATTCTGCCAACCTCTGAGCCTTCTATTTCCTAGTGTCTCCTTCAGTTTCTTGCTTTAGTATCTTCATTTTTCCTCTGTAAAGGTCTTTTCCTTCCTTCACTAGGTTCATGCCTACATGTTCCAGCTTTAAGAAACCAGTGCAAATGAGATACTTTCCATGATTTATTTGTCAGTGAGTTCATTTGCATTCTGCGGCTCTGCTGAAAGCATTTATAAGAGTGTTATTAGGATCTTTTATGCATAGGCTCACATCATCTACAAATTGGAATAATTTGACTTATTTTCTTGTTTGTAATTACTTCTCTCTTCCCTTATTAACCTAGTTACAACCTCAAGTTCTATGCTGAATAAACAGGGGGGACACTTTGTCTCATCCTTGATGTCAGAGAAAATGCTTTCTTTTTTTTCATTTAACATAATGTTGATTATAGGTTTGTCATGTGTACTCTTTATTATTTCTTACTATTGCAGGGGCAGGAGGGGAAATGTGGAGTTATTTTTCCCCTGAAAACGTAACAGGTTGGATCAGAAAGGGATTTGGGGGGATTTCCCCCACTTTTCTGCCATTTGTATTGTCTGATGCAGGTGACAAATTACTATTATTGGGTTGCATTTCTGACAGCTTCCCCTTCAACAACCCTACAACTTTAGAAGTCACCCCCCTTCTCCCATGAATCACCCCTCTCCACCCCCCACATAATAACAGGAATATGCCAGTAAGAGTATGGGCTTAGGAAATTCCCCAACAGTGGTAAGTTTCCACTAAATATTTTCTAGGACTCTGAGAGTGAAGAAAGTAATAAAACCAGGGTAATCTCTCCTGATTCATAAGGCATAGGCACTGAAGTTACCTGCTTGATTCTATGACCATCGCTCTTCAAATAGAGCTAGTAGACCCCTCCCCAGGAGTATCACAGCATTTCCCATGTGGCCGAACCCTTAGCTTCAACTGAAGCATTTTCTACTCCCCCTGACGTGTGTCTGTGAATCTGTTTCTAAATCAATGGACACAATGCTTCTTGGGGGATGCCCACTTGCTCATTGACTGGAGAAAAGAGGCATTTATGGTCCCAAGACATTAAAATGCATGGACTTCTGCTCTTGATGACCAAAAGAACTGACTTTATAATCTTTGAAAATGATTCCCATTGGACTATCTGTGAACACTAGGAGTTGCAGAGGGTCCCTTGCCAGTGTCTGTTTGCTGCCCAGATTTTAAACCATATTTTTTTGCAGTGCCCCAAATGTTGTTCCTATGGAGTTCAGAAACATATTCCCTCTCTCTTTGACTCAAAGCCCTTCCAAGGGCTGCCCTTCCCCTTCTCTGCTGCTTTTGCCTAGTGTCTGGTATCAAGATAGATTATTTTCTTTTACAAATCTAAGGGTCAGAGTGTCTGGATTTCACTTCCTTTCTGTCTCCTTTTCACTGCATCCCTCCCATACACTTCCACACTCCTCACACACACCTCACATTCTATTTCAGACTCTAGGAGTCTGTGAGCCACCGTCTATCCTGGATGGATTCACATGGCAGTATTTGAGACTCTGCATGCAAATAGCCTTGAAGAAGCTAACACTGGTGTCCTTTCATTGTCACAACAAAGATGGACATTCACATTATTGAAAACAATTCCCCACACATACTGATTGTAGGCTGATTTTTTTCATATACTGAACCATCATAACAGGTTAAAAGCTGTAGAGATACATCAGTGAAAGATGTGAAAAATTGTAGCATGTAATTAAAAAACCCACTCCCCTCAGTATATTTTGAAACAATGAGCACTGGATATGGCTCAGGGGTCTGGGTAAAGGCCAGGGTACACCGGCAGAGTTCCCAGAATCTCCCTACTCATATTACTCACAAACCTGGAGTTTCCCTTACAAGCTAAATGTAGACCTTCTGCATGGATACTGATGACTAGGCTCCAATTCTCACTCCCATTGGCCATCGGGTTCCTAGCGACCTGCTTTTGCAGTTGGATTATATAGTCACAGGAACTTGACTTTCTCCAAATCCAGAGAATGGAGACTTCATTACTCTGTACTCTCCACCTGCTACTGGGGGCTTCCCTTGCCCTTACCCAGACCTTTGAGGGTGAGTTGAGGTCTTGAGGGAAACTCTTTTACAGGGAGAACACCTGGAAAGCTTGCCCAGTCAGACCCTCCCAGCTGGGCTGCCCAAATCCTACTCCCTTGAGCCCTGCACCTCCTTCTCCCCTTCCACCACTTGCCTTGGTTTCCCGTGGAAGGAGGGTCAAGCCAGACATTATCTCCTTGCTTCCCCAAGGTTCCCACTCCTTGCGGTACTTCGACATCGCAGTGTCAAGACCTGGCCTAGAAGAGACCCTCTACATGACCGCGGGCTATGTGGAAAACACAGAGTTCGTGCACTTCAACAGTGCGACAGTGAATCCAAGGTTTGAGCCCAGGGTGCCCTGGATGGAGCAGGTGGGACAGGAATACTGGGATGACCAGACACACATTGCCAAGAGTGCAAAACAGCAGATTCGAGCGTGCTTTCAGAAACTGCAAGGCTACTACAACCAGAGCCAGAACAGTAAGTGACATTAAACCCAGGTGGTGGCCAAGCCTCTTTCACATCTAGGTATCACCAGGTCCAAGGTTGAACCTGAGGCTATGAGATGACAGAGAGCCTTGACCTGGAAAGGCTGGGGGTCTAAGAGCTCTTTATGCATCTCAGTTTAAGGCCAAATCTGGTTGGGTGGGCAGGGAGGATGGATAAAAGGCCTGGGACAAGTGGGTGGGACTGACTTGTGGAACGGGTCCAGGTCCTCACACCATCCAAAGGATGACTGGCTGCTACATTGGACATGACGGGCACCTATTTCATGCATACCGTCAGTTTGGCTATGATGGGGAAGATTACCTCACCCTGAACGAGGATCTGAGCACCTGGATTGCTGCAGACACCGCGGCTAAGATCACCAAGCAACAGTGGGTGGCAACTAATGAGGCTGAGTTCTGGAGGGTCTACTTGCAGGGCCCTTGCGTGGTGTGGCTCCTTAAATACCCGAAGATGGGAAGTGAGATTCTACTGCGCAAAGTTACTAGGGGCAAAGATATTCATCCGAATGAACTGGAGCTCACACCTCCTCAGAGGGAGGAAAATGGGATCATCTGCAATTTTCTCTATCTGTCTGTCTGTGTGTGTGTGTCTGTGTGTCTCTCTGACTGCCTCTTTCTCTCTCTCCTCTCTCTCTCCTCTCTCTCTCTCTCTCTCCCTCTCTCTCACACACACACACACACACACACACACCAGGAGGGAAAACAGTGATCCTAGGTTTCCTGTTCCAACGTCAGAGAATGATTCTCCAGAGATCTCACTTTTCTCTCAAAGTCTCAGTTCAGAGTCTATCTCAGGATAGGAGAGACAACCCCTAAAACTGCCTTTCCCTTCAATCTGTAGCCCATTGTGAACCATGGCCTCTCTCGGGTTAGATTTTCTGCTCCCACTCAGTGGTATGGTATAGTATGGCTGCAGTGATTTAGTTTCTTAGCCCCACTCAGTCAGGACCAGAAGTATATTTTTCCTGGTAATCTAGAGTCTCCTACCCTAAGCTGGTTCACCCTGATTCGAGGATTGAAAACAAGTAATCTATTATCCCAGAGGCCTCAGTATAGGGTGCTATGTGGGATTGCATACCTCCCCACCCTATTCTACTGACTATTCCCAAAATGGTCACAAGAACACCACTGAGACTCAAGAAAAAAAAGTAATGTTCAAAATTTCCAACTCTTCCCCCTCAGATCCCCCCAAAGCATATGTAACTCATCACCCCAGACCTGAAGGGGACATCACCCTGAGGTGCTGGGCTCTGAGCTTCTACCCTGCTGACACCACCCTGACCTGGCAGAGGGATGGGGAGGACCAGACTCAGGATATGGAGCTTGTGGAGACCAGGCCTTCTGGGGATGGAACCTTCCAGAAGTGGGCAGTTGTGGTGGTGCCTTCTAGGGAGGAGCAGAGATACACATGCCATGTGCACCATGAGGGGCTGCCTGAGCCCCTCACCCTGAGATGGAGTAAGTAGGATGAGGGCACATAATCTGTTGTCAGGAAAACCAGACGTCCTTCTGGAGACCTTGAGCAGGATCAAGGTTGAGATTTGGGGTCAGTGTCTTACATTTTCATTTCTTTCCAGGCAGGTCTCCCCAGTCTTTCATTCCCATCATAGTAGTTGCTGTTGTCCTGCTTCTCCTGGGAGCTTTGGTGGCCACTATTGAAATGTGGAGGAAGAGCTCAGGTAGGGAAAGGGGCAGCCTGAGTTTTCCTTCCAACTGGGGAATCCAAGCCCCAGATAGTTTTCTTCCTCCTTGCTGGGAAGGTGTATGGCCCATTAATTCTCAAAGACACAATTCTGAATGTCATTATCCCAAATATTTGGATCTTAAAAGATTAAAATCCCCCAAATACAATATTTTTGTCTTTAATTTCAAGTAAGCTAAAAACATTGTTACATTTTAAAAGGTAATTACTAAAAAGCAAACAAATGAAAAATATAAAAGCATGATAGAATAGGAGGACCACTTTACTGAATAAAATCAGAAGTAGCACTCACATTTGCATGTGTGTAGACTCAGATACACTAATAAAAGTCACATTGATGTAGCACTGTGAGTAGATGAACGATATTCACAAAGGCCTATGTCTACACGCATATCCCTGTGGTTGTCAGTTGTGTGCAAGAAGCATTTGCCCTCAGCTGTATGAAGTGGTGGGGCAGACAATTTAAAGTTTTCTGTAAAAGTTAATCACAATCAATATCCAGTCACCAAAAGACCCAAATCTTGATAAATTTCATCTTACACCAATGCAGACATACAAAAAGACATCTCCATTTATTGAAGATATTTCAGTCTTGCATACATGTACCATGCTCACAAACTTCACACAGAATTAGAACCCTTAGGAAAACCTTTACACAATTTGAACTTGCATTGTTAGAAATGATGTACAAATGGGATACACAATACTTTTTTACTTACTTCTGAGGATTTAAAAAAAAAACTAAAACTAAACTTGATGCGGGGGAAAAAATAAATCACAGGGCTAAATCGGGGACGGTTCCTGGATACAATCCCTACAGCTGGTGTTCTTTAGTGACTGTCAATTGTAGGGGAACCTGTAGCCACACCTGTGGGCATGGTCAGGCAGACCTGTAGCCAGCCCCTAAGCAGGCGTGGCTACAGGTTCCCCTACAGTCAATTATACTTTGAAGAATTTCATCATAACTTGTAGGTGTGGCTGGTTTTCTTTCCAGCCTGGTCCCTCCATGACCTACTGCTGTTTCAGCCCTAAATAAGCATACAGACACTATGTTAGTTATAAAACTGCTAGCCAATGGCTAGGGCTTCTAACTAGCTAGCTCTGTCTTAATTATTAACCCATAACTACTATTCTATGTATTTCTACATCGGTCTTATCTTACCAGAGAATGCCTGGCACATCCTATCTTCCCAGTCTCACATGGCATCTATGTGGTGGGCTCCTTCTGTCTACCTTTCCCAGAATTCTCCTCATCTCCTAGCCTGGTAGCCCCACCTGCCTGGCCACTAGCCAAACAGTGTTTTATTCATTAACAAATAAGAGAAACATATATACAGAAGAACATTCCCCATCGTGCAGGAGCCTGTTTCAGAAAGCTGTGAACTCACTGTGAACTGTGGATGGAGCAGACAGAGTGCAGAATGTTCTCCCCACAAAGTGGCCTTTTACAAAAAAAATTGCATCAATGTGATAAGTGGGTGCCATTTGAAGCAAGGCATGAAGAAAATGCCCTGGCATGTCCATATTATCTCTACAGGAAAGGCAAAGACCTGAGAGGAATATTCTCTGTTCTTTACACATGGTCAAAGATGATAAGACATAACACCAGGTGCATTCCCTCCCTGTACTTGTATTTGCTTAAGCTAACTGTAAACATCACATCATGTTTTACTTGATTTAATAATGAAAATGAAAAGTGCTCTGTTTGCACTACTCGAGTGGGAATACCTGGGGTCCCCTGGTTCCTCACACAGGTCTTTTCAATATCCTTCAATTCTCAGAGACTTATCCTTGCTGGCCATGGGGCATGCTGACAATGAAAAGCAGCTTTTTCTTCCTTGATCTGGCTTTCCTTAGGGAATATGTTCACATTAGCTTCCATGTGGTATTGCTCAGTTTCAAGTGCTTCTATAATTGATAGACCTTGATCTGGGCATTCCCGGTTACATTTGCCAGTATGCTGTGCTATATTTCTACATATGTAGACGTCTATTCTGCATGCACTCATATATAGGCCACAAGTCAGCATAAAGACCCGGGGGCACTATTATGTATGTTCTTTCTTATCATTTGTTTTAGTTAGGGTTTCTATTGCCATGATGAAAGCAACTTGGAGAGAAAGGGTTTATTTCACTCACACTTTTATATCACAGTTCACCATCGAAGGTAGTTAGGGCAGGAACTTAAAACAGGACATCTTGACACAAGTTAGAGTCATCTGAGAGGAGAGGACTTCAATTGAGAAAATGCTCCATAAGGTCTGGCTGTAGAGCATTTTCTTAATTAGTGATTGATAGGGAAGGGCAGGTAAGAGATGATACATAACTGCTGCTTACTGGCTTGCTCAGTCGGCTTTCTTATGGCACCTAAGATCACTAGCTCAGGGATGATACCACCCACAATGGACTGGGGCCTCCCCTATCAACTCTGAAGTTTCATATCCAAGTATTGCTGCTGGTTGAGGAATGGGTTCATTTTCTCTGCCAATTGAAGTATTAAAAAGCAGAAAAGAAGTGTTACCAGAAATGCCTAGGAGCCCAGCAGAGCCATCATGCAATACCTGGGAAGTCAGAGCCCCCTCTTTGGGGTCCCATTATTAAGCAAATTTTTTTAAAAAAGGTACAAACCGAAGCTGGAAGAAAAAGAACTCAAATGGAAGCTAGAGGGAAATTTATTAGTGCTTAAAAAGAAACCCCAGGGCAGGCAAGCTGTAAATCTCACAGTTTCCAAGAAGGAATGAGGGAGGAAGGGAGAGAAGAATGGAGAGATGGAGAGAGGGGGAGGGACGAAACATGGAGAAGTGAAGAAACAAAAGCCATGTTGCTTGACATAAGGCAGTAAAAATGTCATAGTTAATTAGGATTTAAAAGCATAATTAGGCTGTGGCCAGCATCCAAAAGAAAAAAAAAAAAACTAAAGAGAAGAAAAAGAAATAGTTACACCTTTCCGAATCAGGAGTCAGAAGAGTGGGCAGGCCCAGAACAGTCCCTAGGCTCTAGGGATTGCACTAGTGGGCAAGAATTCTGGGAAGGAAAAATCACAGAATCTTAAGGGGAAAAACCTTCCCAGGGTTAGTCCCTAACCAGGCTCTTAACCAGCCCCATGGGATTAACCCTTAAGGGAGGAAAGTAGGAGATGCCTCTGTCCACAAGTAGATTCCATTCAGTACCACCCTGCTGTCTTTGTATGCTTGGCATATGTCATTTGAAATTAATCTCCAGCTCTGTCTCTGATGTTATAATGATAGATTTCTTCTTTCTTGTAGTTGAATAGTTTTTCTTTGTTTCAGGGAAGACTCATGGAACTCAAAAAAGTGCTACACTCATGATTTTAGTTTATCATAGACAAGGATATACATTATAAATGATGAAAAGAACAGATGGAGAGTTCTTTGAGGTCCTCAAGGTATACAACTTTTCCAAATACTGATGTTCAAACATGTGGACCTCACCTTGGTACTGAAGTAAGACTTCTTTACATAGCTTCATTTTGGGGGTGGGGGGCAGGATTTGGCCTCATAGCTGAACTTTATAAGTTCCTCACTAAAGAATCAGGTTATTGTTACCAAGTCCCAAATCCCTACATCTGTAATCATATAATCTTTCTGTCATAACCAACCTCCCATCTGAGGTTTACTTGGAGTCTACCAGGCATGAGCCAGATGACCCATGAGTTACTAAGGCACTTAAGGATTTTGCAGCTCTCTTCGAGGAACCCAGGGCAAAGACCAGACAAATTGTCTAATATATATCAAGAACCTGGTCTCATCTCTCTCAGTCCCTCCTGTCTTCTTTTAGATTTCCACATCACTTAATTACCATGGTATATGTGCCATGGATATTGTGAAACCCATTGACACACTAAAATTCATATTTTAAAATACTACAGAATTGTTCTGTTTATTCCCGTGTGATTTGAACTTCCTGTTTTTCCTGAAATACTCAAAACTCCTGAGAGAGGAAAAAAGTTAACCCACTATTTATTAGAGTAAAGTGCCTTCATGCACATTGGTCTCCTCCATGTAACTGGTGGTCTTTAAACAACTTCCCAAAGAGCTTCTTTAGAGCCAACATCACCTCCTTGTTCCTAAGGGTATATATCAATGGGTTCAGCACCGGGGTGACTGCACTATAGATGATGGCCACCATCCGATCCTCACTCATGGAGGAGGCTGATGCTGCAGTAGGGCGGATGTATGTGAAACCAACAGGTCCATAGAAAAGACAAACCACCATGAAGTGGGAGGTGCAAGTGGAGAGAGCCCTCCTTAGCATTCTGAAAGACAGGTTCTTGAAAAGAAGAAAGGCAATGATGTAGAAATAGGAGAGGAGTGTAAGAAGGAAGGCTCCCATGGATATGCTGCCTGTAACAACAGAAAGAAGCCACTGATTGTCACAGGCCACTTCTAAGAGGGGCTTGACATCACAGAAGAAGTGACTGAGTTTGTGAGAGTGGCAAAAGTTCAACTGAGCAGTCATGACAGAATGCATCAGGGCATAGAAAAAGCTGGTGGTCCAGGCCATAGCTGCCAACAGGAGGCACAGCTGAGGATTCATGATAGCAGTGTAGCGGAGTGGATTGCAGATAGCCACAAAACGGTCAAAGGCCATCACAGCCAGCAAGATGGCCTCCGTGCTTCCCAGAAAGTGGAAGAAGTGTAGCTGGGTGATGCAACCAAGGAAAGATATGGTTCTGTGCCTGAAGAGGAGGTTGATGAGAACCTTGGGAAGAGTCACAGAAGAGTAACAAATATCCAGACAGGAA